TCTAAAACAGTTAACAAAATGCCAAAACCGATTCATCAGAATATTTAAAAATCTTCATCCTCATTGTCACACAAGTGAATATTATCTCGAGATGAAAATACTCAACATCAAAAACTTGTTCATCTACCACGTTGCAACATTCATTTTTAGATTTCTACGTCAGCAGTTGCCGGCATTTTTTAGAAACTTTTTCACTTTTGGAACTTCCATTCAAGCAAGAACTACACGCCACACGCCACTTTTCTATGCTCCACCAGCCAGAATTAAAGTACTCTGCATGAGTTTGAAACACACCGGCCCAGGAATATGGGAGACGATTCCACAAGAAATTAAAGATTGTAACACTTTGCATCCTTTTAAAAATAAACTGAAAAATTTTTTAATTACGAAAAGTTCTGTTTTTCAAGGATAATAATGTACATGTATATATATATATGTATATAAGTGTGTACATATTTCATTAACATTGATACATTTTCTCCTATTGACAATTTTATTTTATCATTGAGAAGCAATTTTGAGCTGCACGGTGGCCGAGCCCACAAGAATTAATTTTTTTTTTGGTCTCCATTTCATTCATGCTTTTGTTTTGTTTGATTGAATAAAAGTGATTTGATTTGATTTGATTTGATACATACATACATACATACATACATACATACATACATACATACATACACACATACACACATACATACATACATACATACATACATACATACATACAATTTAATAACACATACATACACACACACTAACATAAACAATTTTTTTATTCGTTAAACTTTATGCTAATCTCTTTTTTAGATACTATTGTTAGTGGTATAGGGAGGAATAATAATAATAATAATAATAGCAAGCAACATTTTTATTATTTTTTTTATTATCCATATATTTTTGATGTTAGTATTATTATGATTATTATTATGATTATTATTATTATTATCTTCAATCTAGCCGTCATCTTCGCTGTGTTGTGTGATGTCAGATGCTAGCAGATGTAATGCATGTTGACCAGACCACACACGTACGCACCACACACGCACACGCACACACGCACGCACACACACGCACACGCACACGCACGCACACACATACACATTAACGGAAATACACGGACTCGCATAAATAATAAAAATATATATATACGCTCTTGCTTACCAGTACCAGACAGATCGTAAACACTCACACACATAAATGCAGACATAAAAAAAACACACAGAGACAAACACACATTCATAAAAAAAACATAAAAAACATAAACATTAAAAAAAACATAAAAAAAACATAAAAAAACACACAGAGACAGACACAAAAATACATTCACAAAACACCACACACGCGCACACACACACACACACAAACACACACACAGAAAGACACACCCCACACACCACAGAGAGACAGAAAGAAAGAGAAAAAGAGAAAGACACACACAAAAACACACACACATACACACACACACACTCACACACACACTGTGATGAACCGTTTGAAAGTATCTAATCCCTTTAACTTGGCCAGACTGTCATATTGCCATCGTTCATGTCATCATCGCCATAATTAGAACATTATCTTTGTCGTCATCATCGCTTGTAGTAACATATTCATCATCACCATAACAATAGTAATAATATTAACAAAAACAATGATAATAATGAATAATAATAATAACAAATATTATTTTTATTAATATAATGAAATGTTAAAAGAACGCAACTGCTTTTATTAATGAAATTTTTAAAAAAAATATAGACATTTATGATTAATAACAATATTAAATGAACGATAATAAAAGAAACGTATGATGTGATCATTCATTCCTTCTTGCGTTCCTTCATTCATTCTTATGTTCCTTCATTCAATTTTATAGTGCCTAACATCTTGAAAGACCACCCAATCTATCTATATGTTGCTTAGCTAATGCGTGCTAAGCTGTCTTTTTGTTCAATTGTTCTTAAGTTGGTTTGTTAGCGTGTGTTTGTTTGTCTGTCTGTTTGTTTGTTTGTTTGTATGTTTGTTTGTTTATCTGTATGTATGTATGTTTGTTTGTTTGTATGTTTATTGTTTGTTTGTATACTTTGTTCGTTTGTATGTATGTTTAATAGCGTGTGTGTTTGTATGTCATTTATCTTTGTGGGACTTTTAGTATTTGGTACTGTTTGTGTATGTGCATTGTTATATAAATGTTTTTATATTACTACTTGTTTGTTTGTTTGTTTGTTCGTTTGCTCTGTTCATCAAGTTTATTGGTGTGTTTTTATTTTGATTCGTTTGAAAGCACGCTAAAATAAAACCAACACACAAACAGGTGCAAATAAAAAACATTCATACATCATAATGCTTTATAATATACACACACGCAAAAACACACACGCACGCACACAAACAAACACACACACACACGCACGCAAACACACACACACATACATAACAGTCTGTACTATTAAACACATGCAATGTAAATTTCGAAATATAATATATTTATACATTTATACACACACACACTCACACACACACACGTACACACACACACATATTCACACGTACACACTCACGCACATATATAAAATCGATATGATAATAATACAATA